AATTTTTATTTTTGTATTTCCTGTTTTAATTTTAATTTTTAATTGCATGAATTTAATTTAATTTTAGTTAGTTAAGTTTTAGTAATTTTGTTGGGTTTTTTACATTTTTAAAAAAAAGTATGTCTATATAGTTTTTATTCATTTTTATTTTAGATTTAGTGTTAGTTATTTTAGTACACCAAGTTAAACTAAATAAAAAATTAGAAATGCTGCCCTGGCAACTAGCTGAAATCAATCATTTTTGATATTTTATTTTATCAAATTTTTTTTATATTTTATTATTATTTATAATTAATTTTTAGTATAGTTTTTTATATATATTTTTATTTTATTTTTATATTTTTGATATTTTATTATTATTATTATTATTTAATTTTTTTTATGGTTTTAGTTTTGGTTAACTATAATAATGGCTGATCTATTAGTCTATCACTACAAATAGCCCAAATAATAATTCAACCCCAAACCTCACATCACCATCGATATCTTCCACATCAGAAGCTTCTCTGATCTAGGAGCGTATGGAGCAGCATTCAGCTGTGCTTGAACGGCTCTGGTCTCTTTGCGAAGGTCAGGCCTGAGCCAGTTCAATAAGCACAGCTGTTTCTCTGTCCACAGGTTCATGGCTGAACAAACGTCCCACAGCAGAGCCTTTTCTGCCCCCATCAGAGGGCAGCCGGGGCCACGCGGGACAAAAGACGCCAGCCAATAGCCTTTAACAGATTCCTGCGAGTAACTGACCAAGAAACAATCGCATTGCCAATGACGCAGATTGCATAAAGGAGCATCAAATCTGCTTGTGCATGAGTCAGATTTCAGCTCTTTTGCTGAAGATTATTCAATATTCTACCCCTATAAGGGCTTAAGACTTTCTAGTATAGACATATATTGAAAGAAGCATCACATAACAATAGTTAAATCATCAATGCAATTAATTTCTAATTCAAAGTTTAACATGTATATGGCCTATATTGAATATTTCTACGTTGATTTTGGGAGAAAAACCAGCAGAATTTTAGGATTTAAAAGGTAAATGTTTCATTTGATGTCATTTTATAATGAGTTATTTTTCAATATGAAAATCTGCTTGTGCCTGAGTCAGAGCACATCCTGAGTCCTTAAGAAAATACTTTTTAATATTTTGCCCCCTTATAAGGCATTAAAACTTTCTATTATAGCCGTCTAGTGACAGCAACATAATACAACTATAGTTAAATCACTCGTATTCAATTCAGATCTTTACATGTGTAAGGCCCAGACTGAACACGTGCCTTTTTTCTACATTTTCTACATCGAGAAATCAGCAGATTCTGGGATTTAAACATGGTTAAATATGACTTTTTGAGCAAGTTAATGCTATTCTGCTAGTCTTTCTACTTCAAAATTTCACATTTAGTTCAATATTACTTGCCGGTTCTTTGTAGTTTGTGAAATTTACTAGCAATTTCTGAGAGAAAATTAAGCTTATGTTAAGATTGTGACATTATTTGATCATTAACTATAATTATAAAATGCATTAATGAATAATAATAATAATAAATAAAGTTAATAATAATCATTAATTTCTACTTCAAAATTTCATGTTTAATTCAGTTAAACCGTTTTATAAAAGCAATATGAGCCTGTTGCCGATATATCGGTATCGGCGAATATGCTGCCAATTTGAAATTTTTTTTACAGAACATATAACGCAAATAAAATCAAGTGGACTTCACATGATATTCTGCCATGATTCCAGTTCCAAGGGAACGTACACATTACATTCAAAGGGCATTAAAGTGCGCGAGACGTGAATTTATATTATATTTTTTACAGAAGTATATTATGTCACACTTCACACTTGTGTGTGAAGACAGTAGCGCAAATCCGTGAATGAATGTTTCGAAGTAAAATAAACTTTAATTCAATTCAATTCCATTCAACTTTATTCCGTTAAAAGTTGAATAAACTTCAACTTTACTGTTCAGTGCACTGATGTCAGACTCATTTTGGATAATAAAGTTTATTGTTAAATTGTTAAATGCCCTGCCTCCATCACGTATCTCTGTCACGTCATTATAAGTGTTTGGTCACCACATTTGAGTGATCATTGCAAAAAATGTGTTTATGTATATATATATTCTGTTTATGTATATACTGTATTCTATATATAGTACCAGTCAAATGTTTGGACACATGAATGGGAAAGTGTCCAAACTTTTGACTGGTACTGTACTCTAATATACACAAAGAATATATCGATATCGGCCTTTTTTTTACTCCCTAATATCGGTATCGGCCCCAAAAAACCCATATCGGTCGGGCTCTATAATTTACAACAGCTTCGAATGCGGCTCAGCCAATCAGAATCAAGGACTGGAACACTCTGTTTTATAAAATGCATTAATACACTTAGAATTTGGTGTACAACATATTTTTTTTTATTCAAATAATGTCACAACGCAAAACTAGGCCTCATGTTCTTGAAACTAAATATAATTTCTGAATTTTTTCTTTTGGTTTTGGGCTTGTTGTGCGTGTTTTTGTCAGTATACGGCCTGTTTTCAGCATTTAAAAACAGAAGCAGAGTTTTCCCGCAGTGGTCACATCCATACGTACTTGAGATGGTGAGACGGGATCTTTGGCTCAGGACGGCTCCGTATCTGTTCTGTGCGAGACACTGGTAGAAGCCCTCGTCTGATTGCGCTGAGCTGGAGATGCAGAGCGAGCCGTTGGACAAGACACGCAATCGGCCGCTCTCGTGAAGCTGGAGGCCGTTCTTCCTCCATCGCACGCCGACGGGCGACTCGCCCTGAGCCTGACAGTCCAAAATAACTCTCTCACCGTGAGACGCCGCCACGTCCTTGGGCTCGACGGTGAACGACAGCTCACTAAAGCTAAAAACACCTGCAGAAGAGGAGAGGAGAGAATTAAAAACTGGCATTATTGCATCTAAATTCTGCTTCATCAAACAATGCAACATACTGGTCAAGCGAGCCTCTGAATAGATCTAATCTATTTAGTCACGGTCAACTGGGAGAGAAGAATCATCCTGCCATCGGTGCTTCTGCTGGACACTGATGCATTTGCATTCTAATCTTCATGACTTTGGCTGTTTTTATACAATAAAAAGTGAAAATGGGCCATGTGTTGCTGTGTTAAGAAGCTATTTATACCTGATCTGACCCGTGAAATGGATTCTGTTGTTGCATCTTAATGTAGTCAGGTTGATTCAGTCATATTAAGTCATATTTTTTACAACTGGTTTGATTCATGACACCCACTAATATAAAATAAAATAATAAAAAAAACTGGCTAAACCACTTAAAAAGTGTGTTTTTATTATTATTATTTTTTTTTTATTCAGGTACCTTCGCAAAAATAAAATAAAATACTAATAATATTTGAATCATTCAGGGTGTAATAAAATAAAAATATTGGCTAAACCACTTGAAAACTGTTATTATTATTATTATTATTATTCAGGTACCCTCACAAAAATAGAAAAAAAAACAACTAATATTTGGATAATTCAGGGTGTAATAAAATAAAAATATTGGCTAAACCACTTGAAAAGTGTTATTATTATTATTATTATTATTATTTTATTTTTTATTCAGGTGCCCTCTCAAAAATAAAAATAAAATACTAATAATATTTGAATCATTCAGGGTGTAATAAAATAAAAATATTGGCTAAACCACTTGAAAACTGTTATTATTATTATTCAGGTACCCTCACAAAAATAGAAAAAAAAAATACTAATAATATTTAAATCATTCAGGGTGTAATGAAATAAAAATACTCGTTAAACCACTTAAAAAGTGGTATTCATTCATTCAGATATAAAATATAAAAACACACACAAAAATATTTAATATTGCATATTTGACCTGATAAATATCGCAGCACAAAGCTTATTAAACTTTCCACACCTCTCTCTCTCTCTCTCTCTATATATATATCGTTAAAAACGGTAATATTTACTTGTATCCAAACTCAAACGCCATCGTAAATGCTCAGATTCTGATAATATATTCACTCAACAGTTCAATTCCCATCTAAATAATCTAACAATAACTTAAAACACTCTAATAATCCAATCTGGAGGAAGTTGATCAACCTGGACACCTCCAACCTTTACGCACGAGATTCCTGTCCAAATATACGTAGATATAACACGTTTTACCTGAAAACGACAAAACCCAGAGTATAATCAGCCCCCGCTGATGTGTTTTCCATTTCAAGGACCCCATTTATCGACGATTCACGGTCATTCCGTGCGTAAAATCCGCGTGCGTCCGGAGCGCGTCATGACTCTCCGGAGATCCGATCACTGACTGAAGCTGAAGCTCACGCTGCTCACGCCACACGTCACTCAAGCCCCGCCCTCATTACATATTCACGTCTCATTACGCGTCCACGATTGTGTAACACTGTTATCACTCATCATCATGTCCACCTGTAATATCATCATAATATCAACAACACCCAAACAGCAGTAGCTGAATATAGAAATAACATGTGGGATCATTTAAAAGAAATGCATGAGTAAATAAATAGTTACAAAGTTACAAATAAAGAAAGAAAATAAATGAATGAATGAGGAAAACACAAAAATAAATTCAAGACAAAAAAATGAGTATTTGTTGTAGCAAGTCATTTATTGCTTTATTTATTTTCCTATACATTTATTTTATACAACATAACTGATGTACGGTTAGCAAACTAACAAATGAATATATGCATGTGTGTATGTGTGTGTGTGTATATATACATATATAGTACAAAATATATGCTAAACAAAGGATCCTCTTTTATTATTTTGCCATACATGTACTTTCTGAAAGTTAATAAAATATGTGTTGTTTAAAATGCATGCAGGCATATTCAGATGTATTGATCTTGCGAGCTGCTGTACACCCTTCAGCCTCATCAGACCCCACAGCACAATAAAAGATCAGCTGACACACTCGCTTTCTATTTGCATACATTATTATTATTATATCACAGGAGAAGAGGGCCATGTATATATTATCACTATTACTGAACTAGTATAGTGTTTATTAACTTTTTATTTTGAAAAAAGTTATTTTTTCATTTTCAATATAATTTTAGTTAATATTTTAGTTTTTTTTTTTTTGGTTAAACTGAATGAAAATGTTAAATGTTGCCTTGGTAACTAGCTGAAATAATTTTTAATTAAAAAAAAAAAATTTTTAAATGACAAAACATTTTGTATTAATATTTTGAATTACTTGTTATTAACATATTTTCCAAATTCATTATAATTGTAGTTTACACTTGAGTATTTTTGTTATTTATTATTATTATTATTATATTTTTTACTTCATTTTTAGTTTTAGTTATTTTAGTACATTCATTTAATTGATTAAATGAAAATGTGAATGTTCCTTTGGCAACCAAATGAAATAAAATAAGTTATTCCAGTTAACATTTATGTTTTTTTATATAATAAAAAAATACTTTTTATATTTTCCATTTTTTAGTAATTTTATTTTTGTCATTTTTATCCTTTTTTAATATTTATATACAGTCTTTCTTCATTTTTATGTCAGTTTTAGTTATGAAAATGAGAAATGTTGCCTTGGCAGTTTTAATTTTCTTTGAAATATTTGATTTTATATCAGTTCATTTTTATTTTGAAAACAGCAACAACAACGGTTTATGGTTTTAGTTTGTTAACTGTAATAACTCTGGTTTAGGATCACCAGTAATAATAGTGCTGCTTCACTTAAACATGACTAAAGCAGCAAATATCCATGTTTTAATAGTGAGTTCAATACATTTCACGAAATGTCCGTATAAATCTCTACGACATGAAGAGAACATAAAGCTCAGCAGATGATGCACGTGTGTGTTTGTGTGCTGGATTTAATCAGTTATTGATCAGTGATTGATTACGACTCCTCTCCTTCTCAGCACAATAACACAAGACATGCATGTGATGCTGGAATATCATATTTGTACTATAAAGCAGCTCCTGCTAAGCAGTTTTCAGAGCCGGTCAGTCGCTCGACAGCAGGCTGTGGATCAATAGGGCTGAAGTCATTAGCATTGTGTGAATGTGTGTGGGGTCATGGGAAAGAGGCACGACACCGACCGCCCTGCCCTCATTGGTCAGAGCCACGGTGAACCCCCATCTCCACAACCTCTGACCTGTGACCTCTGGCTTGGGCAGAATGACCTCTATCCCCTCCGAAAAGCCCGTGCGATCGATTATGCAGAAGAGCATTTATTATCAGTGCTGTTTGATACGTCAGGAATCCGTGTTGTTAGTGATCTGAACAACAAAGTATTCAAATGTTATTTTAGTGTCACTGAGATACTAATTTAGTTTTATTAATAGTTTGAAGTAGTTACTATTTTTTATATTTTGTTTTCATTTTTGTTTAAAGTTTAGTAATTTTGTGCTTGTTTGTCACTCACTTTCTAAAATGTCTAAATAGTTTTGATCCATTTTTACTTCTAAAACTACATTAATAATTAATTAAATTAAAAATGAGTAATGCTTCCTTAGCAGATAACTTTTTGTTTGTTTTTTAAGTTTTGAGCTTGTTTACTGTATAAGGATAAAATTATGTTTTATATTATCAATATTATATTACAGCATAACTTGTCTTAAATACTGGGAAAGATCAAACCCTTAAAAACAGTACAAATATAATATAATTAAAAATATAATGTATACATGACTTTGAAACTGTTTAAAAATAATATTTCCAAATTCCATATAAATAATTTATATCATTTTATTATTTTCCATTTTAATATTTGAGGCCTACATTTCAAGAAATAAATAAAACTTGGTTTAAAGTTCTGGATGCAGGTAATATCAAGTTATTACTATTAATATATCATCAACTAATCGTTAAGTGCTTTGCTGAATCATATCATACATACAATATAATTACATATTTTATGCAGTGTACACAGGTTTTTGAGTAGCATATTAAATATATATGAAGGCATTGGTTAAATCAATAATATTGTATTAAAACAAATAATAATAAACTTTATTTTATATAGCGCCTTTAAAAGTGCCTTCTCGATACATTTTACATAAAAAAAACACAACATAAATATCAATTTTAAAAATGTATACACAAAAAGACTAAATCGAACAAAAAAGAAACAACTAAATCAAAGTCATATAATATAAAAGCTAACTTTGTTTTAGAATTTAAAAATGCATGTGCGTGTCTGATATTTATATTTTAAATTTCATACGTTTTATAGTGAAATTTTCTAGATTTATATTGTTGATTTGTTTCAGTTGGTGAGACCCCAGCATGCATTGCAGTCATGCATGATATGACCTCATGACCTTATGAATGTTTTTTTTTGTGCTGCAGTGTCAATATGATCTAACAGAGGGCGCCGTTACGCTCAAACACACTTCAGACAACACAAGTGTTGTTTAAAAAAAATGTTTATTGGCTTTTAAAACCACTTAAAAAAATCTCACCTGTGAGTACTTTCCATTGGAAAAAAAAAAGAAAATAAAAGAACAAAACATCGCTGAAACGCTTCTGCAATATTAACAAGCTACTGTCCACATAGAGCAGATAAACCAGCACATCAGAGGCTCAAATCTACAGACAGAATGAACATGTTTTTCTACCAGACCGACCTGACGAACGACATCTGCGCTCACATAGGCATTTTTGATATCTATATATATCTATATATATATATATATATATATATATAAAAAGAAGAAAATTGAAGATATATTCAAACGAAAAACATTCATGAACCGAAACAGACTTATTTTAACTTAGTAAACATCGTAAAATGCATATAGCTTCTGAAGAACTACGTTTGTCCCCTCGTCCTGTTTTGATTGGCTAAAGGAGTGGTCACAACAAATACTACCATAGATAGTTTAACATACATGCGCACATACAGTCATTTTATAACATGGTAAAGCATGTTGGCTTTTTAATTTTTTTTAAACTCGTCGTTTTTAAATCTCGTATTTTCATATTTTCTTCTCAGAGGAGTGGTCACAACAAATACTACCATAGATAGTTTAACATACATGCGCACATACAGTCATTTTATAACATTGTAAAGCATGTTGGCTTTTTAATTTTTTTTTAAACTCGTCGTTTTTAAATCTCGTATTTTCATATTTTCTTCTCAAGTACGAGAAGTCGTACAACGCGGATCTCACTGAGATTAGAGCTCATTGCTACACAAGGCAAATATTCATTGTCGTTTTCGAGCATGAGTGAGTACTTCCTCTATTTATTGTCTTTAGAAGAATAACAACACGGGCACCAATTGTTGTTTGTCGACGGGGGAAAAAAACGCAACTTTTAGTGCAATAAGATGAACGTTTTCAAACCATTTCCAGTGTCTGCTCCTTTGATTCGTCTCTGCACACAACATTTAGCTATGTCACGATTAAATTAACTTTATATTTAAGTCTTATCTAATTTCTTTTTTCTTGATAAATCCATGCTATTATATCCTCTCTTCATTTACACATCACATCTGCGTACGCAGGAACCAATAAACTCCTAAGAAAAATGGTACATTAGCAAGCTACAGACCCAATATTTACTAGCACATCACAGGAAGCCAGAAACGTAACAAGCGAAATATCGTGCTGGCTATGGACTCGTTATGATCAGCTTTTTCTTAAGGGCACTCGAATCTACCTACAAATCATCACCATTAGCATCTTGATAAAATGGAAATCTCATGATGACAACTATGTCCTTTTTACAAATGTCGCACTACTAGCCTAGAAATGTAGCCTTCGTGAACTTGTACAACATGCTCCCCATCTATACATCCACCATATACATAATTTACACAAATGTGAATTCACTTACTGTAAAAGCGAACTAAAACAGTCAAGATCCCTTTTAGATCACAGGCGATTGAAGATGGAAACCTCAACGGATCGCAATCTCTTGTTCTTCCTCAGCGGCTCTTTGGTATGGAGTTAAGGCTGGAGAAACTACACAGGTTTGCCTGTTGATCTCGAGTTGGTAAGAATATCTAGCCATCACCATACCATCATCACTACCAGTTTGAAATGATGTGCTAAAAAGCCTACGAAATGGCTAGCAACCATCTGAACATGGAGAACTGCTAATTCACGACAAGTGCACCAAGTTCGTTCTTTTAAGAAATTCTTGAATTCAGAAGCCTTTAACGAGATGGAATAAGGCCTTAGACTCTGGAAATAAGGCAGACGAGTCTTATCTTCCCACTTTTC